CGCCCTCCAAAAATCTGTTGACATTAACTCCGCCCTCCAAAGCCAGCGTTTACGTTAGCATGGCTAATAGCAGAAGCTCCGTTGTACAACCATATGAGAGACCCAGAGGCAGAGTCGTGGTCCCAGCTTTTTTTTTCTCCTCCTCCTCTGCTCTGTGCTCACTCTGCATGCTGTTACCAAAGCAGGGAGCAGCAGCAGTGAAAATACCTCAGAAACTCGAACAAATAAGCTTTAATAAGGCTTTAATAAGCTAAACAATAGAGCTACATGAGAAAATGTGTTCATAACAAACGAAAAAAATAAATAAATGGTGTCTGTGTCAGTCTCAAACCCTGGTCTCCCACTCACTGGTCCATCACTCTACCCATTGCCCTATTGGAGACTTGTTGTGAAATGAGCTGCACATTGCACAACAACATGGTGACGGCTTTTTATACTGAGGAGGTGGAGCTTCACCCAGGGGTTACTAGGTGAGGGGCAGAACGCAGGTTCTGGTGGGTTGTCGTATGGCTTGTGACATCACAAAATGACAGAAGTATAAAACTTGTCGTTAATATACATTAAAAATACATTTACTTACAGTAAATATGCCCCTGGGTGCATTTTTTTTGGTCCTAGGACTGTTTTTAAGAAGTACATACCCAAAGTTGAGTTAAAAAAAACTTTAAAAAGTGAATTTTGCATAATAGGTCCCCTTTAAGTACAGTCCTTTTATTTTAATGATTATGTCCTGCTGGAGTGTGACATTATTTGTTTGTGTACAAAGTAATACGGTATCAGAATTTCATATATTTATACTTCTCATTCAACCACAATTAAATTCACTCTATCTAGGAGGTACAATTTATATGAACAGTATTTATTTTTTACAATAACAAGCTGGAATAAAAACAAGCAAAATGAAATAAAACAACTTTCTACTTCTTGCCTTATTTAAAAAATGTAAGGAGTAGAAGTAAAAAGTAGGCTGAAAAATAATTACTCAAGTAAAGTACAGATACCCAAAAATTCTACTTAAGTACAGTAAGGAAGTATTTTTACTTAGTTACTTTACAACTTTGGAAACGGAAATGATGAGAAGTCAAGTGTATTTTTGATTAAAACATAAAAACAGCATTTTAACAATTGAAGGTGATTAAGTTACTTTATTGTGGTATAGAATTTAAATATGTCTGAAAAACACATAATATTGCCCCTTTAATATTACAGGACCTGTTAAACCTAAAGTTTAATCATTTCAAAATAAAGTTCAAAAACAAACGGGCTTTTTTTTCCTCACCGTATGATGCCAAAATCATCAAAGTACCCTCCTCGGCCCTGAGTCCCAAACGGTTCTTTAAAGGTGAGAACGACACAGGCCACGCTGTCTCTGTTCCAGATTGGCCCGAAGATGCGGTTTCCAAACCTGCAGTGAACGTGGCGTAATTATTCTCCGTTCAGCCAGAGACAGGGCAGCTGTTCGTGACAACGTGAGTAAACATTTACATTCAGCTTTATTCTTGAGTGGGAGCCAAATTCAATTTATATTGTGGGATATCCACAGGAGCTACTCTGGTCCAGCAAGCACTGCTGAACACGTAGCATCACATAATTTAATTTACCTTCAATCAGATTACTGTTTCAGCATGAAGGTCAAAACACAAAGAGCTCTACGGGAAGTAAAAATACATACTTAGAAGAAAAAGTAAAGAAATTTGGGTTTGAGAGGTTATTTCTTTGTTGTAACAATTTGTCTTAACAATAAATCTTATACCAGAAGCCAAATCAGGCTTCATAAAGCAGTTAAAGTAATTAACTCTTTTTTTTACAAAACACCAAATAAACAGAATTAAAAACAGCCTTCTCTAACCTCAACACCATGAGGTTTTGCACCATTTCTTTGCCCAGATAGTGATCAATACGGTAGATCTGATCCTCACTGAACAGAGACGAGAGGTGAGAGGACAGCTCCTCCGAACTCTGAAGATCTCGTCCAAACGGCTTCTCCACGATCACCCTGTTCCAACCCCTGAACCAGACACCAAACAACACAAACACCTGGGTTATCATGCTTATAAAAGGTGCAGTCACTCAGCACATCAAACTATAAACATTTTAATTCACCGGGCAACAACTCAGATATGAGTTATTTATTCTCATATAAGCTTTTTCTTGTTTTCTTTTTCTTTGTTCAGATCTGGACCACAAAAAAAGTGTGGTTTTATAATTTCTGCCTAAAGTCCAACACTCACCATTTTTACATAAGCATCCAGCAAAATATATTACAATGATTTGATGTTTTATTTTATTTTTAACATTTGTCAGGTCTGAATGTGAAAAAAAACATAACCATCATATTCTACAACAGTGAATACCCATCAAGAGCACCTGGTGTTATTATGGTGGTTGTTGTATAGAAAGAAGGCATGTCGCTCATCGTCTTTCTGCCAAAGTTTGAAACAAAGATGTCATAAGTTCTGTTAGCACCACCACAATCAACCTGAGCTCAATATTTGTAAAACTGACCAACTTACAGCCATTTTTTGTTATGGTTAAACTTGATTCGCTGTAACTCCAAAGGTTAGTGAGATGTAGTTTTCCATCCAGTAATTAGCATCAGAATTACATTAAAATTGACAAACACACACATACAGATGAGTACAAAGAGTTACTCCTCCACTGATCTTTATAAAAGTGTTTGAGTTTATAAAATATTACCGAAGCAGAGCTGTTTAGAAAGATCTACTGTGTGTAAAAGTCAATTATCTTGTTTTAATACATCACTGAGAAAAATCCAAAGGAGCGTTAAAGGGATCCCTGATTAGTTGTAACATTAGACTTTACTTGATAAAACATAAATTTAACTGTAAAATAAAGACTGTAAAAATACTGTAGGATGTTTAGTTTTTAAAATTTTAAAAATATATTTTAACACGGACAGCCATTTTATTTACACACAAAGCATTCTGGGTAAATGATGTGGATAGGTCATCGGTGTGAGCGAGCTGTATCCACCCTGAAGGTTAATCTTGGACAATATCTGAATATCAACTCTTTTAAATGAAACCAGAGAGCGTTGACAGAGAGGAGAAGGTAGAAATGACTCAGCCTGTAACTGAAAATATGGATGGAGGACAACAGAGCTGCTTCATGGAAGAAGAACCTCAGCTTAGCCTGTTAGCRTTCGCGCTAGCGCRGACGCTATATTGCCTTATATCTGTATTAGCTCGGCGCTAGCACGGCAAACAAGCAGCTCTGTTGTCCTCCATCCATATTTTCAGTTCCAGGCTGAGTCATTTCTACCTTCTCCTCTCTGTCAACGCTCTCTGGTTTCATTTAAAAGAGTCGATCATCAGATATTGTCCAAGATTAACCTTCAGGATGGATATAGCTCGCTAGCAGCCTCACACCGATGACCTATCCATGTCATCATTTACCCAGAATGCTTTGCATGTAAATAAAATGGCCCCGTCCACGTAATGTATATTTTTAAACTTTTAGTTTAAAATAAGAAAAACTAAACAGCCTACAGAAATTTTACAGTCCTTATTTTACAGCTAAAATAAATGTTTATCAAATAAAGTCTAATGTTACAACTAATCATGGATCCCTTTAAATCAACCTAAGTGTTAAAATCTCTCAGAAAACAGAAGCCAGAGATGACAGTAGAGTCTGGACTGACTTTGTGCTCATGCAGTGCTCCTTGATGTTCTTGGTAACATCGTGGTAGACCGTCGGCGGCAGCGCCAGGTAGAAGAGACGGTTCGCCCCACTGGCCCCCGGCAGAGACAGGATGTGAGAATTGAGTTTGGAGAACGAAGGCCCGTCTGCGTATTTCCCGCTGATATACGAGTTCCTGCTGAAGAAGGTCGACAACCGATCTGCTTCCATGTCGGTCACCTAAGCCGGAGGGAACAGGCAGTTTAACGTGCAACTTATTAAAAACATATTTATGAAGGATCAGGTCCAGTTTTACCTTCATGTGTGGCAGGCAGGCCGTCCGGAGGGCGTCCACCGTCAGGTCAGAACGAGCAAAGCCCACGAAATACGTCTGCTCGGGGAGGAGGCCGTCTCTGAACAACCACCTGGGAGTGAGCAGACAAACACACATTAGAACACAACCTGCGTCTGACGCTCCAGATTAGCAAAGTATCACTTATCAGCCTTTTCTTCACGGCTGAGACCAACTCACCACAGAGTTGGGTAGATTTTTTTCTTTGCCAGATCCCCCTGCAGGTCCAAACACAATATTAGAAACATGATTAAATACTGACTGAACCAACAACCTGGAGCTCCTCACACTTCAGCCTCAAGATGTTCCAGTTTTAGCAGCAGTAAGACAAAACTGTGCAGGTAAATAAGCAACTTTTAATTATTCAGGAATTGCACAACCTCAGTGATCCCTCTGAAATCAAAAGCCAATTGAAAACAAAAGGCTGCTTTAGTCATTTAACTGTGTTGTTTTATAAAACAACACAACTTTATTCTAAGTCATTTAGAAGGAAACTGATGGGGGAAACAGTTTCATGTGAAATAATGTCCCAAACCATAAAATCAGAAGTGAGTTTAATAAAAAGTTATTGCCCTAACAATGTTCTGCTGGCCTCCAACACAACCTAAAGAGCTTAGCTGCTCCTCGTCTCTCTTTAAAACACTAATCCTCCTCTGGGAGCTCCCTAACCTGTAACCCTGCCATGTTGTTTAAGGATGTGTGTCTTTCAGATTTCTGCTCAGAGCTTCATATCTACAGCGTTCAAAACACGTAGAGTCAGAGGCAGGACTCTGGCACAACCAATGCACCTTTCAATGCACCAACTACAGATTTAAAAGATATAATGTGGAATAAATGTGAAAGTGCCAGGTGAAAGTCAGTTTCTCCACGCACGCACGCGCACACACACACACACACACACACACACACACACACACACACAC